CGTCGGCACCCTTAGAACTTCGGCTGTGATTTGACACCCCCTGATGAGTGCAGTGCAGGTGCGAGGAAATTCGACTCCGTAGCGTAGGTACAACTTGTAGTCAACTGATTAGGCTACGAGCGGCAATTCTTTTGGATGGTGCTGATGGCAGTGCGGAAAACAATTCAAATCTCGTCCCTATTGTTCTCCGTTTCGTCCCAGTTCTGGGAACCAGCTTGTCACACCTTTTTGTCGACGACCCAAGCTGTCAAGACGTTTGCTCTCTCGCCACCGTACACGATTGAAGGCGATGATTAGCCGTGGATTGCGCAACGTGTCGAGAGATCCAAGCATTGCATTTACCTCATAATCTTATTAGTTGTTGAGGGTGTTCTCGAGCCACAGCGAGCACACAACGAAACTCAATCGTGACCGAGTTTTGTGAGAAAATCAGCGTCGAGTGAGAGTGAAACTCAATAGGCGGGCGTTCCAACATGCATACCTCCTCCTATATCGTGCACATTTGCCAATTTGTGTTCGTTCGTGTATTAGTCCACGCGACAATCGTCCATTGTGTATATAAATGTGATATAAACGATGAGGTTGCCGTCCAGCTGCAGCCGCACACACTTTGGTGCGCAAAAAATTTTTTTTCGCTACGACTTCCTACTAACTTTTCAAGGGTTTCTCTGTTTTTGACCTACTTGATCACTAGAAGGTAGAACTACAGACTATGGAAAGTTTGCGGGTTCTTCTTACTCCCTACCACCTCAGCCCGCGAAAACCTCCTCCTTACCGTTCAGCCCGCCTCTTCCAGCCCCGTTAGCCTCCCCCCCCTTGTCGCCCGTACGGCCAACTTAAAAGACACTACTGAGACATATGAGCCATTGTATGACCAGTGCAGCAGATGTACTTTCCGGAACTTTGCGTCGCCCCAGTGAAAATCCTCTACTACGCACCGTCACACACCCATTTTTGACTCCTCCCCGTGAGTGAAACGCCACCGACCTTCTCGTAGCCACTCTCTCATCATCTCTGAAGTGTGTCTAGGACAATATTAGTAGGATGGAAAACGCGAGCCGCTCGAAAAGCGATCTGCTTTTTGCCCTTCTTTTGGATAGGTTTCGCCGCTTCAGACTTCCTACTATACGAGTTTCATGCGCGTGCTTAGCTCTGAAGTTAGCTTTAACTTACTTTCTTTCTTTTGGTCTTCTAGCCATCTTCCCGCTTCTTTGTAGCTCACAATTATCATAGTGTCAAAATAACTTCGCCAGCATGTGCCATTCCATGCTGCTGAAGTGTTTTGCCGTACACAAGCTGCTGCTCGAACTCTCTTCAAAGCGACTGAAACCTGCAGCCTCTGCTGTAACTTCGAGTGAACCACATACACTTCGGTATATACACTATTGAATTCAATCTCTCATCCTCTATTCACATCGAGTATCAACACAAAGTCGAGTTTTGCGCTCTGCCAGTCCTAAGCCACTTATGCTGCACGGATTTTTGTCGCTCTCAAGGTTTCTCACATTTCCCCCCACACCACCTCATATACTGCTCCTATGATTGAGGTGCAACTTGTACTTCATGGAATTTGCTCAGCTTGCTGCCTAATGAACCAGCAGTATAATATGCTGCACTTTTTTGGAGAGTAACTTGAATGGAAATGATTAAGAGTAATGAGCTCCTGGTGTACTTGTAACTCGATTCGGACGTTTATGTCCTAGCTTTTATTATCTTCATCTAATATTCTGACCCATAGCCTGACATTCTCACGTAGTTTCCAAGGACCTGTAACAAGCTGCTAATCTCTAGTAGGATATTTGTTTGGGACTCGGCGCAGACCAAGTGCAGGCTCGGATGCGGCAAAGCTCTGTCATGCAGCTGGCCGGTTCACATTTACATGTATGGAGGCAACCTCATTAATCACGACCAACATCAGTATCGAGACCGACTTCGTTATTCATAAGCTGCTTCTATTATCAAACCAGCCAGCAGAGCCATGACTCAGCTCTGACAGCTCATCTCATACTGACAGAGGAGTTCTAGGAGTTCTGCTAGGTGCTAGAAGCAAAACAAGTTCTAAAACCTTCAAATTCTGCTTCTTACAAGTCACTGCCCTGTGGGTGAAGTGTAAGAAGATTTGCAAGTGCATTCTTTCATCTTTTGACAACGTCTTTATTTATTCATGGAACATGGATTTTCCTCTGTGTTTCGACAACTTGCACCGCTATTCACTGAGGTAACAATGTACTCGGCTGAATAAGCCACTATTGATAAGGGCCAAAAGCACTAGGGTGACGCAAAAACTCTTTGTAATTTTTTTTGAGTTTTTAAGAAAAGGATAAGATGATATCCACTGTGAAAAGCGATTAAATTGACGTGTTGTGATTTTTCAGTTTCAATGTGTTTTTCGATCTATTCAAGCTCACATATGGCTTTCCGACTTTTCATACAACGGAGATTTCTTTGTTTGAGTTTAGATCTGTTCGAATCATTTCTTTATTTGGCCTTATTAGCGGAATATATGTAAGTGACTTTTTCCAATGTACTTGACATAATTACCGTAATCCACCTGAACAAAGTGTACCGAATCCTCCTAATTCCGTTTTTGCGCGCTTCCGATTCCTTCAATCTCCCGTCTTAAAATCTGCTTTACAGTTGTACCATTTATGTACCACGACTACTTAAGGTAATCCCTAATGGATTTCCTCGCACTTCTTCACATACTTCTTTACCGCAGAACGCGTAGAATCTTGTCCCCAATCCGGTCATCCTCCTTTTAGGCGCGATTTTTGTCGTGACAGATGATTTTCTGGTAGCCATGCGGCGATGATGCTTCAAGAGCATTTCCTATATCCGATTTTGCGACACTAATTACACCCGGTGCATCTTACAACAACCAGCTGCTCATACCAGCCAGAAGAGGATCGTTGATGCCAACCGTCCTCATATGCGCTCACAAGGGCCAGGAAGCGCCCTGTAAGGGGGAGGGGGCTCCCGAGACCGGATGCGATTTGGTGAAATGAGGAAGTGGAGCGGTGCCATGATGTCGTTGGATATCGTTCTTCACCTTATGCTTTCGCGAATTTTCTTATTCCAGCCCGTTCAATCTGCAACTGCGAAAAAAGACTGTATTACAACCACTACATCCGTTCACGAAATCGTCTCGATGTCTTTAATGGTCGAGTGTAAAATGTGTTTATTACTGATTCACGCACGCTTTATTATGCAACGAACATATGTTCGAGCTTGGTGAGAATTCGCATCACTAGGCAGTCAGTCGATCTCTAGCAGTCAGAGCTATTAGCACTTTCGAAGGCTTGTTGCAGACTGTGGTCCTCATGAAAAACCGGCAATCGTTCGGATAATACTTTCGCCACACACACAATAGCGTACTTTTCGTTCGATGTCTCTTGCAAATTCCTTGGTAGAGAGCGATTACCACTTCGTACTCTGACGCTAGGCTTTTGTGGATCTTTGTTTGAATTATCTCCAAAACAGACAGCGATCAGTCGCGATCGCGGTGGCAGTTGTTTTCGCGTGATTCGTTCGGCAATCTATCGTAGTGACCGTCTAGTTCATTTGTCGTCGAGATTTTGTTGAGACGGTCTGGGTCGATGTCCTCGTATTTGTGGAGATTATTGTTAAGACCCATGTAAAAGTTTTTTTTTTCATGAGCGAAGTTAAGGAACGAGAGATAAGGAGATCTAATAGTTTACAAACCGTCTATTGTAATGTCTTGTGAAATTCATCGAATGCTTGCCTAACTTTCCATAAAATCAGATACTTCATAATATGAAAGCTTGTGTCAGCTCACTTCAATTGGTTTTTTTCGTGAATCTATTTTTTGCCATTTTCATTAGAAACCCCTCTCTGAAGTTGTAAGATGTGTGGTTCAATTACCAGCAAATTTGGATAATTTTAAGCCTTAATAGGCTCGAAATCACCCCAAGTCTAGAACAGAACCTCAAAATTACTCTCCATTCAGTTAAGCAGGTCCTGTCGCCCTCGTAACATTCATCTCGTCACTCGACAGTTTTCTAAGTTTCGCGAACTGGTTGTGTCGTGACATTGATATGTTACGCTCTTCGTACTCGTTACTGTAGGTATGGCCATGTCTTTAAACTACAGTAAATTATGACCTTTTTGAGCTGCTCTGATGTCTGAGGCCCTCGCATAAAATCTTAGGTGGTCCATCACGAAAGACTTTTGATCTACCGTGACCATACTGATCTGCAGTGGTTTTGGTCGTTAAGGTGACTTTATCGATCTACTTTAAAGGTGATTTTTGTCGAAATTTTTCTGGTTTTTACCGCATTCTTCCCATTTCTCTCTGTTCACCTTTATTGTACATACCGTAGCTGCATTCCCGGTTATTTGTCGTTACTAACACCGAGATGTCATTGAACTTGTCAATGTCTATCACTTGACACGAAGCGACGCCACACATTTTTGTGCAATCCATTTCCGTTCTTTTTTTCCATCTTCCTTTCCTTTGCTTTCTTTTCTCCTATAGATTTCGGCTTCTTTGATAGTTAGTTTGTTTGCTGTGAGCGATGTGCGATTAATCCGATGATTGTTGCCGCCATTCGACCTCACACTGCGAAATGCGACAATGATGAACAGAAGGAGGAGGAGGAGGAGGAGGAGTAAGAGTAGGAGGAGGGCAAATTTGAGGGTACACTCCGAAAGCTAGCGGTCAATGCCCAAAAACAAGCCGACTTAATGAGTTTATTCAGTTTGCGGCCAGCCTGCGCACATTCTGATTCGATTTGGCAAAAAGTCATGTCGTCGGGGACGCTGATAACCTCACCCGAGTTACTCCTCACCTTATGCCATTGCGTTTTTCAGCCGAAATGAAATTCGTTGGCAAATCTCATCCATGCTCTCGGTTATCTTTGTTCTTTAATGTGATTAGAGTTCCACTACAAATTTACGAGTTAAATTCAATTTGTACATACAGCAGTTCTTATAGCGTCTGCTTTACGCGCATCTGTTCTTTACGCCAAAACTAGTAATATCTTTGAGATCACACAACCTATGCGAGAACTACTAATACTATTAATAATCCGGCTGAGCACGTCTACCTCGCAAGTGACCACCCCAACACAAGGACAATGTCAGGCAGTTTGTCTGCGGGAGGTGAGTGACTCTTGAAGAAGTTTTGCGACCGGTGGCAGTCCGTTAACTGCCCACTCGTTTGATAATTTCCCCACAATCGCGTTATGCACCAGATGTGTGAAGTGAGAGTAGGGTGCACACGAGCGAAGAGCGAAAGTTAGAGGTGCTGTGATGTTGAGGTGGCTGCAAAAAGTGAGCACGAAAATGAGATTATGCTGAGTGATTTTCAGTTCGCCACCTTAAAGGAGTTTATCGCACTAGATGGAAGTGCATATCGAGAGCCTGACGTCGTCAACAACAGCGATTTTGCATTGGTACGAGCCTCTTTCATTTGCAAGCTGGGTGGCCACCAAGGTGTTGTTTAAGTGTAAACTTGGTTGCGGATCTCCCGGATTCACCGAGTTGAAACTGGAACCGTTCAAAAGAGGGCAAGCAATCTACGCCACCATCATCAATCAGAACGGAGCGAGCGGTGCGTTGCTTTGAGGTGTTTACCTCGGCTGTGCAATTAGTGATTTGAGTGATCTGGCGAACGTTTAGTGCCCAACCCGAGCAAGTCCCCAATCCAGAATGTCTCATTACTGTGCGCTGATAGTGCCGAAAATAATGGGAGCGCCTTTTGGAAGGTGGCCCTCGACGTTCGAAACGAAAGCGACAGCGGAATGCTGGCCCACTGGGTCGAAGCCGTGCGCAGGGTTAATAATGACGTGTCTAGTGATACGGTCGTTTTTAGTACGTGGGTGAGTTGTCTCTTTCCCTCAGATGAATAATCGATGGCCGTTACAATTAAATAACCTTTCAAAACAAAAACTGCTATCTGTCAAACTTCCTCTCCTCTGCTGCATCTGCTTGCAGTTCCTTTTTCGATGAGTCCCAAAATCAGCCACTACATCAGCCGTTGTTTAAGCTTTCAAAGTTTTTGCTAAAAGCGTCCAGCTTTTTCAATTGTTTCCAAGCTTAGAAACAAACCCATATAAATCTTCTCGAAATTGTACTTTCACTCACAATGCCTTTCTGTGCAAGTAAGTGAATAATTGGATTAGAACTCCAAGATTGCTTTTAATGCATCATTGAACAACTTTTAGCATCTTTTCCAACTCACTTTTTGGGTAACGCAATGTTCCAAAGCAGCGAGGGAAAGGAACAGATTGTTATGTATTTCATCTGTAGCAAAAAGTTCTGTCTGAGGTAGTGCGTTTTGGAGCATACTGTAAATAAACTGCTTTGTATAGTCAATAAATTGTATCTAGGATCAATAGTAATCAGTCAATAAACTCATATTCTCTTGTACCTATCATTTGCGCATGAAAAAAATCTGCTTTTACAAGCCCAATAATCTTTGACAAGAAGCTCGTTTGCTGCAAAAATTGTAGTCACTTGAATTTTCCAGGTTTCGAGTGTGTCGTCATTTTAATTTTCAAGATTTCAAGTGTCGAGGTAGGGGGGGGGGATAGATCCTGTATTTTGCGATAATGGTATTTTGCGCGAGAACGAGCTTGATCGCACAAGGAAAAAATGCTTGAGACCTTCTTCCGCAAAATTCACGCATTGCTGATGCATTCCATCGCCTTGACGAGTCTCTATTATTTCTGCTTGTCGTATTCGATGAGAAATCGCTTCGAGATCTCTTCTCACGCTCTGATTTGACTTCATTGAATGAGTCCAGTTAGCTATTATGAGGACGCTGCCGCGCTTTCCCACGATGTAGTGGGGGCAGCGCTTGAGCAGAAGACGACAGAGCAATCGCAGTCAGATGCTTGGAAGGGGATTAGCCTCCGCAAACAAATGTTAAACACCGCTGGATTTGTCATGTCATTTCGGGTGATAACAAAATGAGGTGCACGACGTTATTGCATTGACGTGCGAAATCCCCTTGTTTCACTTTACTCGACAATCAGAGCAATGCAGATTGAAGGGGCACCGCGGGTTACGGTAGCTCAGCTTTTGCTCTTCAGACGTACTCGTCCTATGTCGACTTTTATGGAGCGGTGGACGTTTCAAATGCATCTGTACAGTTTCGAGCAACTTCTTTCAATGGAAGCGGTCTTTTGGGCCACGTCTCCAGCTCGGATTGGTACGGTGAGGGACAGCTGGCTGGAGGGAACTACATCCAAATGAGTGTTACAGAGGAGGTATGTTTTTATTTCTCTGGTATTTTTTATTTATGCCTAGGGAACCCTCCACGCATAAGAAGAACAAGCACAACAAACAAAGCCCAAAAAAACAACAATTCATCAAGTATTTGACAATTAATAGTCTTTTAGTGAATTTTTCTGAAAAAAAAAAAGACATTTTTGCCGCAGTAACAAGTGTTTAGCGCTATCAAAATCGTGTGAAACACATCATGTAAGATTTCTCCTTAAAATTACATCTTGGGATAATACCCTGTTTAGAACCAACTTTGGTACAGCCGACTTAACCGCAAAACAAGCTTTACAATAAGACCAGATTCCCATAATATATTATGTGCCATGATGAAATAGAGCTTCTTCTTCTGTTCATAAGATTATATGCGCATGTGCCAGAATATCCTTCGCTTAGAATCTGTTTCAGTTGTGGAAAGATGAACTCGCAGCAGCACGCCTAGCATTCAAAACAACGAGAATATCATCCTGTTCGTTAGTGCTTTCGTTCAATTCACACATGGGTGTTGAACAGCGCATGGAATTAGTTATGGTAGTCCCAATCTTACAAATTTCAACATTTTTGCGCATCCCATTCATATTCAGGATCGCTCTCGAGGATATCTTTTGGATCGACTTGCGTTTGACCATCCGTACACAGTACGGCTATGGCATATTGGAGCTATTACCACTGCTTACACTGCCTTTGAATTTCGTACACCTCAATGTCTCAAGCTTGTGAACGACCCAGCATTATGTGGTAATTATTTGTCTTTTTTTGTTGAAATCCCTCAATTAATGGCTTCGAGGCCAGAGATCAATATATGTTCAAAAATATCAGCTGGCGTTCTTGGATTCTCTATTTACTTTGAGTATTGTGAAGAGGAGGTGAAATACAGTAACCTATATCATTAAGTAATACTTGATCTGTTTATTTTGGGGTTTTTCACAATCCTAGAAAGTTCTTTTCCAAACTCTTGATCCTTTGAAGAAAGGAGCAATTCACGTTATCACTATTCACTTCTAAAAGCCAGTAAATCAAACATATCTTCGATTCGATGATATCCTTTCCGAACTACCTCCCAGTTTTTCAAGTTTTATAGTGGTGATTCATTGAGAGTAATGATGTTAGTTTTGCCTCGAGTTTTTCCGTATCTGCGTCCATTGAGGTTTATCTTCGAGTTTAATCTCGTCTACTAACTCGCATCCATCAGGCTGGTTGTGCTCGTCTATTGTCTAACAGCCAAGCACTCAGAGTTCTGTTCAGTGCATCGTAAAACAAGGGGATACTGCTTTTACGAGTATACGCAATTCATGCTGCACTGCTGCCATTTCGTAACTTATCTGCTAGGACTGGGAAGAGACTGGGATAAATGAGGGATATATGTCGCAATGTTTTCGCAACTCTTCGCAATTATGGTAGTTTTAGCACCACCCCCTGTGAGCGATATATCATGGAGCTGGAATTCCACCGAAAATGAGGGAAATCGCATAGTTCTTTCATGGATGTACGGATCACCCACACAGATGGTTGAGGATGGTAGGGAGGAAGCGTTTGTTCGCACAGAGCTAAAAATACACATAGTGTTCCCAAGGTTCTCGAGTGGAACGTCGCGACTCCATCCAGCCAATTGTGACCGCATTTCCAAGAATGGTACACTTCGACATAGCTGTAAATCCACTGGTTACTGCATCACAATATCAGTGCCAATTTTTAGATGGACAAAGACGTGTTGTAACATGGGTGAGTAGTCTTCAACATAGTGGGCAATAGTAACTGCATTATTCTGAATTTTGGGGAAGATAATCTTCCAAGAAATTTCTATTAGGTTGGACTAAAAAATAATCTCGTTTTGGCCTGTAACTTTCCATCAAAATTTTTCTTGTTGTTTCTCACCCACGATTCATTGAGGGGAAGTACTTCGAGGCTCTATCATCACATATCTACTCAGAATTTTCTAGATAAAAGAAGTTATGCCCCAATAGGGATAGATTTCCAGAAGCTCAATTTTTGACTTTCTAAGCTTCCTTTTCATGCTTTGATGGGTGTAAAGTGAGTAATTTGGTATCTGTCTACACATAAGTTTTCAGGGGTTATCAACAATAGCTTGATCTGTCATTTTGAAATTTTTTGATTGAAAAAACGGATTTATCTTAAAGTTGAGGCATCTCACTTCTTTGCAACTTTTCTTCACAGGGGAATAAATTCTACTTGAACAGTAGTTTCCAAATTCCATTTGTGACGCTTTTTCCGGAGATACCAAACACCGAACAACAATATGCCTGCAGCAATTATAGGAGCCGCAAAAGCGACGAAATTATTTTTGGCCAACCTAATTTTTTTCTGCAATTTTGCATACATAATGAAAAATAAACTATCGCCATGTCTGCCATAGCTTAAAATAGTTAAGTTCGAATGGGATCCAGTGTCCGGATGATAATTTTTTCCAGACCCACCGCTCCGTGGTATTGTATGTCCCAAACGAAGAGTGCAATTACGGCATAGAAATTACCGTAGTTGACTCGCGCAATCGTCGTAGCACGACGACGAAAACTCAGGTTATTCGCTACGAGGAAAAATACCAAATGCTGCTATCCGGCGATGGTTGGAACACTGGAGTTGTTAGTTTTTAGGAACAAAATTTTAACCTGAGTGGATTCGTGAAGGATGCATTTTCCAGATCGTGCTGTCCTTGGTCGTGCTAGCGTCATTCTTATCGGTGTCGGCAGCTTTGGTGGCATGTCGTGTTCGTGACAGAAGAGAATGGAACACGATCAAAAGAAGTATCAGTCCACCGTCACCAGGATTGACGATAACGAGAACAACATCAGCTTCAGCTGTTGGACTGGCGAATAAATACGGTAGGAATAACGGACCATTACTCTCAAGTACAATTTCTTTGGAATGAAATGTGGATTTCAGTTATGAACGAGCGCTGTCCTATGCGAACGGTGAATATGGTTCGGCTTTCATTCTCAGAGAATAGTGAGAGAGGAGCAAATTCTGCGCCAATTATTAAAAATGTCAGTTTTTTCAAAATCTCAAAATTTAGTATGGTTTCTTTGTCAGGCTGGACATAGTAGCTTGCAAATCACTGATAAAACACGCGCACGCCGAGTTTTTTTTTATGACTGTTTATAATATCATATGTCCTTTCAACACCTGGTAAAGTTGTATTTCTCTTGATTTCGGTCCATACGCACATTTTGAAAAATTCAAAATTATCGAATTGTTGTTCACGAATCGTTTCTTCCCACTATTTTAAATTTTTGGATTTATGTCTTAATCTCGAAGAGTAGCTCAATTTCTACGTGATAGAGACACACTACGGCGGCTCTCATCCAGCCCATGATATCAATTCGTTCTTCAAAGAAAATGCCAATTTGCTTTTTTCCAGCACTGTTTAAAGAAATGAGAATGATTACGACTATGTGAATTTATGTAGTTGCTAATTCTTTGTTTATCTCTCAATTTTACTTTACACAAACAACTCAAAATGAAAAAGTTCAGTATTGGCAAACCTCCATCTGATAAAGTGCTCTAGAATTCTACTGGAACCGCCGAGACCGATGATGGTTCGAAGGATGCTAGCACTCCAACAACTGATGAAGCTGATTATGATACTATTGGGACTCCTAGATTAACGCATAATGTGAGTTTTGACCTAGAACATGGAAATGAATTTGCACGGTGCTTTCTTTTCAGCCCTGCCAATCCGGCACTTGCTCAGGAAGATGCTTGCCAGCGTCGATTATAACGGCAGTATCGAATATAAAGCCTAGTACTTTGATGTGAGTTTGGACCTCAAAAATAGGCTCGCAATGATCAATATGTCGATTTTCTAGAGTCCCTCACGACTACCTAGTAGTCAGCCGACGACTTTCACGACCTCCCTTTTCACTCTGGACCACTAAACATGTGGTGTGGCCAGCCACAGAGCAGACGTTTGCCATCAAGTATTCCCAACGTTAGTGCATACAAGTCAATCCCACCTGTTACACCGTTCTCTCTTGATGTCCTTCCCTTTTTCAGAAGGGATCGGCCACTTGCGGAGGGAGTTCAAGGTGCTCAACCATATGTCCGTTAATCACAAAAATCTAGTGCGATGGCTAGGTGTTGGAGTTTGCAGCGGACAGGTGACTAACTAATGCAGTGATTTTTTGAGCAAAATGAAGTGTGCCTAAACCAAGGATCAAGTCAGAACTGCTATCCTCATAAGGATTTATGTCGAATAAATTTGAGTAAATCCAAACAGTGTTGATTTGCCAAAGTTATTTCTTTCTCCGATATTCTTGATTTCAGTCAGGTACTTTGAAGAAAGGAAATTTTAGTGGCTGCCGTTTTTACAAAAGATGCTCTTTTCGTTAGGCGTCGGGAAGAGTTCGCGATATCATCGCCTCGCGATCCTCCAACAAGACAACAGTTACAAATCCATTGCATGATCATCTTTCTTTTCGGTTGTGATAGTTTTCTGACACGACTGATCGTTAACTATCACAACCGAAATGCAAGGACTCGTCACAGTTGTCTTGTTTGGCGAATCGCGAGGCGATGAAATCGCCTGAAGTCTGCCCAGGGCCTTGGATATCTTGGAAGCGATTATCGGAACTGCCAACTTTTGAAAGAACATTGATAAATGAATTAACGCAGAATACTTCCCCTTGACCTAATCTAATGCTCATAATTAAGAGCTCGAACCTGTGTCACTTCCATCTACACATTCGCTTTGTATGAGATTGTTTATAAGTAAGGATTCTCAAAAGGAGCTAAGAATCACAAGCTGTGTGAGTACTCAGACGAAGTATGTACCGTATTATACTACTTCAGTTACGTGAGGCTGGTGGCAGACGTAATTATACAGTCATAGCCGTGATTTTTGGATCTTGACAGTAGTGAAAATTATACTTTTATACACCTTTTTGGAATGATCGAAAAGGTCTAATGGTACTTTTCCGTTATCCGGACCCATTTCTTCGAAAAGCTCTCATAATATACGTTCTTCACCTAAGAATAATTTTTTATAGAATCTTCGAGGACTGCCTTCCTGCCACGTGTCACGAAAAAATTGACACGTTTTGGTCCATCTTGACATGTTTTTTTCGAAAGAGAAATTGTGATCATTTCAAAGCTACTTAACTGTCTTACATAAGCGCAAAACAATCATGGGCTTATTCTAGAACATCTTGCTTGCTTTGAGCAGTGATTCAAGAATGTATCTCTCTTCAACCCTTTTCGCCATGCGAATTTAGCCGGAAAGACTATAAATGATAGCTTGAAGTACTTTGCTGGTGCTTATTTCGCCTTTCAAATGACGGAATCCTAGCGCACCTCTCTATCTTGAGCAAGTCTAACCTGTTCATCGATGATAGTATGTCGTTATTATTATGAGATGTTCAATTTGAAACTGTTTTTGGTCGAAATGAGGTCAAAATCCAAAAAACAGATTAAACTTACATCGCTAGGTAGGGTAACAAGAATTCTTGGTGAAACCTGTTAAGCATGTAGATGACATGTCAAATTTTTTTGACACATGGCAGAAGGTTGGCACTCCTTCCTGTGAGGCTGGGGCAAAATATGGTACAAGGATAGAAGCAATATCTTTTTTTGAGAAAATGGGTCCGGATAACAGGAAAGTAGCGGTCTAATTTATCTACAAGCTTGACAAACGACTTCTGAATGGGTCAGGCGACAAGTCCAGCGTACCGTAGCTTATCTTTAGCAAGTTCGCAAATCGGGTGTAACAACTATCGTTATCTTGTAAGCTCATACATCGCAAAGATATGGTTTTTTTCGAATGGAAGGAATGACTTAATACTTCATACATAATGTTAGGGTGTTGGTAACTTTTTAGAAAGAAAGAAAAAATTTTATTATTGGTTGCTATGATAATGACCGAAATTGCCACATCTGTTCGGAAATGTAGAACCAATCTCTTACCCGTTGTCAATTTGAACATACCAAAAATTTCGACTCAAACTTTGATTCCTAGAATCATAGTAAAATTGAGATAAAACAGCGTATTGTCATATTCTACAACAATTTCATAGGAGTTGCTCGGTTCTTTTGCCGAAAAAAAAAACTATATCCTACGTTTTTGTAGAAAGTATGTCTGGCGTTGTAGGAAACACTATACTGTTTTTAGTATGTGTTTTCAAATTGTTAACTAAAATGAAGCATTTCGAGCTTGCATTGTATTTTGTCTTTGTATCTTTTTAATTTTTATTGATCAGCTTCCTCTTAGGTGCTGTCTCTACTATTCGAGCCATGCAGTGGTAGCACATTGGCCGGCTTTTTGGATGATGTCAGGAAAAACCTTCTTAATAGGTGAGAACATCTGTCAGGTGGAATTCATGTGCGAGCTACAAAACATATTCATTTGCAGAGCTGCAAGCGATGTACCAACTAATGATTATAAGATCCATAATCTGGCATATCACCTTCACAGATACGCACTCAATATTATCGAAGCACTGGTAAGTTCGCTGTTCTTTGAATGCATACAGTAAACATTCGGCTCGACTGGAGACCTGTTACGGGTGGAGGACTATCTGTCGCCGAAAGGAGGTGATCCCACACGGACATCTGCAACAGACCACGCGCCATGCATGTCACACACGGTATGGGTATATAGCAGCTGTCCGCGCGGGCGGAGCCTATTGGTGACGTAGTCCCTACCTCCCCCCCCCCCCTAAGGTGTATTATCCACGATGAGACCATTCAAAACTCTTACAACTAACCGCATTGAGACATTTCTACAGTTGTTTTGATTTTCGAGAATTGCAAAGATCTAGGAAATTATGAAATTCTTGAAAACCACAAGACCACCCGACGGTTTTAAAAACAACTCGTCACGAACTCGTCCAACAAAAACGGAACCAACGAGAATCAAATCTTTTACTGCGAACCAGATTCTTTTTCGGAAAATTTGTAAGCATCATTCCGAACAGCTCTGTAGGATTTTAGATTTGTGGCGAGAACAATACGCCATGACTCGTCCAGCTAAGTTTCTGTCTTTTTACTAAACTTTATTTTTTACTACATGAAATGTCTCGTTCTTATTCGGCGCTGTCAAAGGAAATAAGGACTAATGCGTGCTTGAAACTCGACGCTCTATAATCTACTTCTGATCCTTGTTTCGGCAGTTTTGATTGCTTTTTACTTGAGAGCGCTAAGAGTACCACCTAAGTATAATTTTCGATGTCACTGCTGGATTGAGAAACTTAAGAAAAAACGTCCTAGCAAGTGGATTTACAAATTCGATTAAATGGTTTGACTTCGTGAGGTCCTGTGAAAAATTCGAATGCGGAATTCGGCTACACGAGCAAGCCATAAGTTTCGAAACATAGTATACATTGCTATTGGCAAGATGAAGAGGTTAACATATAAAAAAGGGTGAAGATAAAGGACTGCATTAGAAATCTCCAATACTTTGTGATTGTAAATGTTTTGAACCAGTATTCGATGCCATCAAACTTCCTTTTCCATGCCATAGTTGTTGTTTTTCTAAATTTATGCGGCGGTTAGAAGAGCTGAAGTACTGCCCCATTACGAAAACAAAAGGTATGAAAAAGAATGACTGTTAACAACGTGCATTTCACCTTTATCAAAAAAACAAGGGCTTTCACTTTCAATGTCCTTCCATTCTTGGAATATTTAATTGAGCCTGAGGATTTTTAAAGTCTGTCTTGATCTATTTTTGCTCATCCTTGATTGGGACGAGTAAAGAAATTGATGCGTGCACTACTCCTAGATCAAGCCAAGCTTGAAAACCAGTTTTTAGAAATATAAATGATTTCTAGATACTGGTTTTTCTTTTGGGTGCTGGAAATAACAACTAAGAACATATTAGGTGCAAATGTGGCTAATTTTGTTCGTCGTGAAAATCAAGTGTGATAAAAATTTTTTGTTGGTTTTCGCAGCCATCGGCATTATTGTGTAAAATCAAACCTTTAAAGGTAGCGTCCAGGCAAGTCTGGACACATGGGGATCCCACGTGGATAGTAATTTTGGGGGCCCTAATTGTAAGCCACTGCCCAATCGGCAGCTCAGGTAGTGCTCTAACAGCCGAGATATTCCCCTCGAAACTGGACCCGCGATCGTATTTCGCATGGATTCATGGAGCAAAGCATGGATCCTGGCGCGAAACTGCCATGAATCCATGCGAATACGATCGCGGGGTCCAGTTTTGAGGGGAATATCTCAGCCGTTAGAGCAATACCTGCGCTGCCGCTTGGGCTGTGCCTTAGTTAGGGCCCCAAAAGTACTTTCCACGTAAAATCCCCAGAGGACTAGATCTGCGTGGACGCTGCCTTTAAGTCTTTGCGAAAATATAACAGAAATGGCATCTTGCTAATTATTTACACAATTAGCTCAAAATAGCGAATGTACGTATAGGAAAATGAGTAGGCTGATTTTTTTATTAACAATTTTGAGATCATATGTTACATAAACGGGGGCTGCATTCACTACCAGTTCGTCCTCGTTTCTTCCCAAGAAAGTCTTTTGGGAAATGTAGGCAAATTGACGTGTTCTACAAAAAATTAGATATGTGAGATCGGAGAGCTGAATATATCTGCCACAATGTCAAGTGAAAGACAGCATTTAATCTTCTTTGTTAGACACCCTACTTCCCATCGGGACGGGAATCCTAAAATAGGTGTCTTTCCCCAAAATGTTTCCGTTTTCATGAATTAATAGAGTAATTAGAATGACTAATGGCTAAAGTTCAGGCTGATAATTTTAACGCTTGGAAAAGATCTTTACCAAATTCTTTCTCGTGCTTTTCTCCAGAAAAGCGTATATTAAAGCGTAGTAGTAATAAGCTCTCTTACTCGTCCAATACAAACGAAGCAGTGTATGAGTTATCAATCCAATTACCACGGAAAAACATGCACTCAATCCCTATCTAAGAGATCTTTGCTATTGAGATGTCATATTGTTTCAATGTCAGCCTACGATGGTCCTAAGATGTTGCGTTATTCTACCTTAACAATTCCAAATTTCTCTTCACCAAATTTTTTTATGCTTAGCCGTTCTGATGGTTTTCTTGCAACAATTCCTAGCTACAAATCCGATCTGAAAAAAAAAAGTCTTCTCTGCAAAGACTGTTCTAGATTTTTGCTACCCTCTGAATCCTTTTTTCTTTCTAATGTACGGTTGGGACTACCGAGTAAAAGAGACCACAATTAACTTCTTGTTAATCGCAAGCATCCAGGTCTCGTTAATCTGGTAAGCATTCGCTCACTCTTAGTGACTAGTAGCCGCTGGCTTAGTGACTAGTAGCCGCTGGCGCTTGTCCTTGGAACGAGCGCTTCTTATCCGCAGCGATAGTGAACGAGGGCTTAGCGCTAAAACATGGCCCCATTGTGCAGCTCATGTAATCGACATTGCTTCGGCGAAGTGTCGGCAATAAATCTGACAATTTGACCTTGAAGCGATGTGTGAAAATCTTGCCATTTGAACGCTGCCGTAAAGTGAAGGCGGTGCTGACAATGCTGTGAAATTTGCGAAATTCGTAAAAGCTTTCACTTTAAATAAATCGCTCAACAAGCATTCATCCGTTTTCTCGCAGGTGTTCCTTCACGAGCAAGGATGCGTGCACTCGCATATTACAGCGGAAAATGTGTATCTAGCTGTGGACTACAGTGATCCGTTGGATATTCCATGCGATCAATCTGTGAAGCTCGGAGACTTCTGTAAGTATATCTTGTTGAAAACTCGATGTTTCCATACTTCATTTCATGCAAAATTCGTTTTGGTCTTCATAAAACCTTGCTCGAAGGCATTATCTGACAATCTCATTTACGAACATCATGCTTATCTCGCACTTTAGCTGCATTTTTCGAAGTTCATGGGATGTAGGTAGATGGGCAAGAAAAGCGTCAGCATGTCATGTTTATGGTATTAATAGTGCGCCAAAAAACCCCCTTTCTAAAGCAAAGACATATATTAGTTTGTCCCATAAGTCTTTCCATATTCATTCCTTCAAACTGATATTTCTCAAAAATACGACATCTACGAAGGTGCAAAATTATGGGAGTATTCTTGAGTGAATAAGCTATATAATCACATATTTGCGAGGAACATACACCCGTTACAGGCAAAGTTTAAAAACTGAGCGTAATATTTTTTTCTCGGTTTCTATCCATCAGAAAAATGCAGCAAATGTATATATAAATATCTGGTGGGGACATTATATGCGTGAGCAACCAAGTGGAAACTCCCCCAGAAGGTTTTTGAACTGATTGTGAGATACGATTATTTCCGCCTTTTTCGGGATCTTGATTTTTTTTATTTTGTGTTGAAGCTCGATGCGGATCAAGCCTGATACGAACTTTTGAAGGCCATATTGTAGAGCTTGCTTTAATCTTTCGAATGGTTCCCCGCTTCCCAGCAGAATTCTAAGAAGAGCAGCTTATGCTAGTGAAAAGTCAGATATGAAAAGACTTACGGACAACCTATTACAAGCTGAAGCGAAAATAATGTATTGAATCACATAGCGCCACTTTCTGGGAATACGGTAGGTGTATTATGGGTTTACGGTAGGTCAAGCATGTCAAACGCGTAGACCACGTCTTATATGCTGCTAATAGCACAATCGTGAGCGTGTGCTAAAGAATCTCACCATTTGATGTGGCAAATTTGGTACTCTGATCCTCCTACCGTGAACTTGTCGTAGACCCACCGTAACCCCAGGAAATGGCGACAGCACGAGCTTTTACGTTACTTGATTCAGTATGTGAAATGACCTTCCTCGGTAGAGCTTAAGCAAAATTCACGTTTTTAAGTCATTTAGTCAACTATATTAGAATAGCACCATAACAACGAAATTTTTGCAGGTTGGGCCAGCGTACCTCGAGTGAAATGTGGACGAGTTCACTCTCCACAATCTCTCCTTCCACCAGAGGCAGTAAACAATGATGAGGATTGCAGCACCGCAACGGACATGTAAGTTTCTTCAACTGAATTTGTAATCTGAAACTTTTTGAAAAGGTTTCTTCTCCTTCAAGTAAGGTATTGACGGTTAAGCAAAGCAAAGTGCACTTCTTTTATTGCCATATCGTTCTGTATATGTCTGCATACACGATGCACTAAATTTAGGTTGCTGCTTTTCTTGGCATCGTTAATATTCTTAAGGCTTGCATTTTTGACTATTTGTTCAAACTTGCTACTAGAATATTGGCATAAGCCAGTAGCACTCATTTGTATCACCTAATTGGCTGGCTCGGCTACCATATCCATCCCCATGTCGGTACTTAACAGTTGACGACAACGCGCAATATGTACTTACAGCAATTCTAAGTAAGGTGCAGCTAAGAAACGCACAAGTAATCCCTAAGATTAAAGCATAAGGGAACTTATAAAACGAATGTACCCCAAAATTGTAAACATTTTAACAAAATTCAAGCCATGACCCACCATGTGGGTCGTCCCAAGTGGCAGTCATTGCATGATCCAATGTGTGGCCCACGATGTCATCAATGTGTTGAGCTTGCATCAAAATGTCGAAGATCTTTGATCTCCTTCATTTATATGAACTCCTTCTCAACAGTATTTTCAAAAAAAATTTATTGCGTTTTCTATTGGACAAAGATTATTGTTGACATATCTCGGCGATAAAAGCTGATAAGGTAAAATTCCAAAAATTTTCAAAATTCTGGTCACAATGTGGTGAGAAGTGTGACGAAAAACATTTGATTCTAGTTTTATGGCCTACTTTTTCTCACTAAAAGGAATTCGTGGTTATGTCTATGTCTAATTATGCCCATTTTTTTGGCTTTCGCATTTTTTAACATTTTTTGTCTATCTATCCAAAATGAAATCTCCGATAAGGATACGAAAATACAAGTTATTTTACACATAAAGAAAAATACGTATGGTGAAATGTCTTGTACCTTTCTAGACTACTTTCAAACAATTCATGCTGCAAGAATCCTGGCCTGACCTATGTATTAGTAAATTCGTAGCTCAACGGTTTTGCTCTCATAGGAGCCTGATATTCTTGCGCCAATCTGACAGGGCACACATTGGTTGTACAATACGACTGCTTCAACACTTGATATACTATATGTTTCTGAACAATTAAATTTTTGAGCAGTGGACGAATGACCTACTCATGAAAAATCCAATCTACCTAGCAGCACTAAATCTAGAAGCAAAGCATTCCTGTACTTTGGAAGATAGCCGGCCGAGTTACAAAAAAGGAACACTAGTCTCTGATGAAGAAAATTTTCTTGCACATCCCCAAATAAAATAGGCTCAAATGCTGATGAACACGAATAACTGTTTACAATATTGTTGCTGAGAGTTGAAGATTGAATAAATCGCGCAGCTGCGGTTTATACCCTTTTATTAAATCTTATAGTTTAGAATGGTATCCTTTCAGATGGCAGTATGGTTTACTGCTCGCCTCTTTGGTCACGCTGAACTCAGTTCAACCGCTTATTTGTCTTCCTCCAGATTTACTTCTCACGGATAGAATCATCAAGAACTATTACACATGTCTTTCGAGCGGTGTTCGTCAAGTGTAAGTTGTGGACTTACAGCCAAGGATTAAGGACAAACAGGTAGAACGATTTAGGGACCCTTATATGACGGCGCTAAGGAGCAAAATTCTTATGTGTCTGCCGTCAAATCCCAAAAGTAGAGCCTCGGCGAAGAAGCTTGAGGTAATCCTGAGACCTATCCGCAATCCCTCATGTCCTAAATGTTCCTTTTTTCAGAAAGAAATTATATCCATAAACTTCGCAGCTCCTGTATCAGTAGCCGGAACGAGTTCCGTACTAGTCTGAGGGTCATCAACCCTCATATATCATTCCAGTCCGTTCTATCAGAACCATAACCTCCAAGGTCTCAAGCCGATCTCGCTGTCATTCTTTCGTATATTTTTTTTCTACTATATTTTTGGGCCGATACTGTATGAAGTCAGTTTGCATGCTATTAATGAAACCTACTGGTCCATAATTACTGTCAAAGAGGAGTAAGAACGCTCTGCACCGCTCAGTTTGTGTTCGTGCCATTGTTACTTTCCAATCTCTTCTCTTACATCTCTTTGTATAATAAGTCATAGTTTTTGATTATAGTTTTGTATAGGGATATATTGGCCACGTGATTCTTGTCAGTCTCGTTTGTCATTCACATCTCAGAATTCCCAGTGTTCACAGAGTTTCCCATTGTTTTATGTTATCGGGTCACGTGCTGTATATTCAGCTTACGAGTGTTTGCTCTTGTCTTTGATTTTTATCAAGCAGTTGTCTTTGTTGCATCCACTCGTTTTGTGTATGTAATAAAATTTCCAGTGATTCACAGAAATTCTGCTGCACATAGAGCGTTCGATTCCTTGTGCAGTGGTAAGCAAATTACTCTCCTCTAATTGGTCCAAGCCGTTGCTGCGATTGGTGCTCGTTAATGATTGGGAGCTTGGCGAGCATGACTGTAGCATTCTGAAGGAATGGGTATCTTCGTCACAACCATAAAAGTGTATTAACTTTGCCAAGCGCTTGTTTCTACACTATTTATCGTTGATTGAAACAGCAGCAAACAGCGATCATTGAGAGGAGTAAAAGAGAGAACAATAAAAATAATAGGAAAGTTTGTCTACTACGTGCCAATATATTGAGTTGAAACGGTAGTGAGGGAAATTTCGAGAACCCTGATTTTTAACAAATTGTGGTCTGCAAGAATGAGCGGTATATGTACATGCACACATCATTGCAGTTTCTACGACGACAAAGAAAGAATCATAATCTTTTTTAATAAACATATCATAAAATATTATATTTTGGAAGTAAGATGGAAGTCAGTTTTCTATTACATGTAAAGTGACGATTTGCAGCAAATTTTAGCGCACCCTTCGCTCAAGTTTCCTCTCCGACTGCAAGAGTACTAGAAAAACCGACATTACAATCCTGAAGTAGTGTCGTATATTTGGAAATTATCCGCAGACGACAAAAGAGGAGCTATCTTGCATTCTATAAAATCAGCAAATGTTTCTACTGTTATTTTTTGAGGTTAAGATTAGGTTGAATAATTTTGTTGTCCAAGATAAAACAAAAATTTTCTCCTTTTGTCTTCAAAATCAGTAAGCTGTCAGTTTTGCTCTACACTTTCCGAAAAATCTATGGATAGGGTGAATCCTCTTCGCAGCACAGATAATCTTGGGACAGACCATCTACCATTGGAGATCCGACTTGCTATTTTTCAACTAGTTTTTCATATCCCTCTTTGCAGCAGTGTGGGAAAGAAGCTCTACAGTAACCAGGATTTGTTTGTCAAAGTTCATGCCAGTTCAGGCCTTCGAAGAAAGTCCTGTTTATCGGATACCTGAACTCCCTGTTATTGTATCTCAAGTTCAGCAAGAAATTACAATAGACCCTATTACCATAGAGTTCTCAAAAATTTTGCGGGCTTATAACATCAAAGGAAATAATTTCATGCTTCTGAAAAAATTTCCTCTTTGATGCTTCTGAAAAATTTTTTGGCTAATTCGATTTTTTTAACACTTTGATTATTTATAAGTCAAAACAAGTTACTTTCACAGTTTCATGACTCATCGGGGCTACCTTCAAAAATTTCTCTCCGTCCTCGGAGGCGAGGACCCTCTCCGTTCTTCTGTCTCCCTTGATTTAGCATCGATAAGCACAAGTGCACTTGTGGAGGAATCTATGCAAAACTGTTGTATCAAATAATTATACATGTGGTACATCTCAAAGCTATGTTCTCACGAAAATCATGTTGCATCACATGCTACCACCACTAGAACGCCGGAAAAACTAGTGTGGAAACTCAATAGAGCAAAGTAAGCTTTACAAGGTGACTACCAAAGTCCACGCAAGTCGAGGCAATTAAATCTTGAAGTCAATCGAGAAAAGCTCAGTTACCCCAAAATTGAGATCTTCGCCAAAAAAATCGTGCAAGTTCAACATTTAGTCATCATTTTACAATGTGAATTGCTGAATTTTGCTGGGTTGGAATTCTAGACATAAAAACTCACTAAAGACACATCCATCACTTAATTCGGTTTTTTTCTTAACTGTTCATTCTCGATAACTACGGTACACGCTGGTAAAATCTGCTGCTGCACCAAGAAAGTTCTTACCATACAACCACATATGCGGAAAGAACCGAGATCGCGGCAATCCTATTCCTGGGATACTCAAAAGTTTCTAAATTTGGCTATTTATGTTGTTTGGTTATTTATGTTTTTTGTGGTCATCTTGTAGAACTCATTTTGCTCTACCGAATAGTGTCCCACAACGGCTTGTTCACCTTACCGCGTTCCCATATGATGCGACAACAATTGCAACATCAACTTGTGCATCAGTACTACTGATACTCGAATGACTGACTTCGTCTGACTGTGAATTTTTATATAAAGACGCATTGCTCACTCTATGTACTACAACTTCGCAAACCTAATTCTTATCATAATTATAGCACTATATTAACAGAGGCGTGTTCATGGCTACGAAGTACACGGGAAGGGGAAATCAAAACGAAGTCTATGGTCATACGAAAGCAATCCAGTCTTTGCTAAGGCTGCTCTTCCGTATAACTATAACTATACAAGATCCTGCAACATATCAACTTAAATATCAAAAAGTTGATGTGCTCCGCCAGTGTGAGATTAGCAATGAACGTGCTTTGACCCTTTGAGATCCGAAACGACAAAACAAGAAAGCTCAGCATTTGAATGCCTTACAGATCGTCAAACTCGCTGATGATGCGTTATAGATTTTCTTTTGAACTGGATTGCTCATTTCGAGCGAGCACTAGGAATTTAAGGCATTCTGTTATTGTAATTTATCAGAGCTTGTTTCATCTAGTCTAGTGAAGGGAGTCATAACGATATGGATGCTTTCTTCAGTAGCGAAAGGTCTAACTGCTACACTGGAAATGCCATGTCCGTTCACGACATCATAAGACCTCATGTCAGGAATGGTGACTCTCAAAAAAGATTTTGCCATCAAAGTAAAGCTTTGTTCCTCGGACCTCCCGCTCACCGAAAAATCCAGTCATAATTCATAGGCGAGCTGACTCCAAATAAAATGGTACCGGAGTGGGGATAGAATAACTTTCACAATGAGACTCAGTAGTACACAAATCCACACCTTGATTTCCTTCTTACCGTTTCGATGTTAGAAAGCAAAGTCAAGCGCAAAGTCTAAGATTCGCGTTGACCGGCATGAATTTCCAGTATCTAGGAGTTGATGATTATGTAACTGGCTTGTAAATCCTTCTTGTTTTTTAAGTCTTTCTCACAATGACATGCACCTTATTGTATCCTTTCAAGCGAACCGCGTCTTGAGATTTTACCGATCATTTTGCATATTTGCATGCCCCGCTTAGGCACCCTTCCGAAGTTGTTCATTTTTTAGACAAGAAATGCCGCTGGAAACCAGTTAAGAATTGTTTCATCTTACCTAAAACCTTTATTAGTTTCAATTTTTCACTAGATAACTCACTTCATAACAATATAAGGTTTGCTGAAATCGGTTCGCTTTATTCTACGCACCCATCTTAAAGCTTTATTTACAGAGGTTTAGACCATTTGTGGTAAACTGCCACTAGTACACCGATAAGTACTAATTTACATCGTGGGCGCGTTCAGTACATATACAAAGCAAAGAAAGAGCCGATATACAAAATGGTGAATCGTAAAGCTCTTTGAAATTGAACTAAGAGGTAAAAGACGGTCAGACAGAAAAGCAAGAAGGAAATGCTGAAGCTCACTGGTTCAATATGCGTGAAATGGAGAGTAATGAGACTGAAAAATAATATATGAGGAAGACGTCTTGAATGTATTGCGGAATATAGCGATCAATCGTCGACGATGACCACTGCCAGTATAGAACCCGAAACTCTGGAAAATAACTAATATCAACAAAACTTTCACGATAACGGTGCGATGCTCACTTCAATGACAAGTCATGGTTTTCGTAAACTCAGTCGTGGTTTCACAGATCTGCTCGAATATACGACTTCAATGGTCGTTTTGTTCCAGGACTACTCGAGATAGTTGATGAGGCAGATGAAGCACCCCTTCCAGAGTCTCTTCCGTCCTAAAAATACTTCTTAGTTTCCCCCAGGACAATAATTTGCGGAAATTCGATATGCGACTCCATAAATCACAAATGAAATTTGTGGCATACTCTGAGTTAAACGATTTGTTGCTAGACAACGCCCATCGTTTTTGTTTCGCTTTCGATTGGCAGTAGAAGGTTTATGATTTTATGCCCAACTTCGTTTCCTCCCCATCCCAGTGGAGGTCTTATTAGATGCAGTGCAAATAAACAAACGAATGCAAACTTCGCAAAGAGAAAAATTGGATTTTTTTGCCAAAACAGTAGAACTAATTTGGTTGTGTTCTCAAAGTAGATACTCGGCTCATGCTATTACATTTGCTTCGAATTTGATCGAATTATCTAGTTTCAGACAAATTCGTTTGTGTACTAGGAATCTCATCCATCTACGTCTCATGTTTTGCTTTCTTCGCTTAGATTGTAAGTACTGTAGTGAGTTAGCCTTTTACTTATCAGGGTGGTTCCACTTTGTAACAGGCCATGCTCTCCTCAATAAAAGACCTGTAATTCAGTGGAAGGTTGCACAAAAATTCCTTAGCAGTGAGTCATTAGAAGTGTTACTTTATTGGAAAATACTATGTTCTGGCTTAGCCACCTAACAATTCAACATAATTATTCGATTTACTGGTTAAACTATCCGATATGAATTCCTTGGCTATCTCAAAAACAAACCAAGTTAGGATATTCTTTTTTTGTTCAACTGTTTCGAATAGATAGCACATACAATTGTCAAGCAATATAATGTGAGCTTGGAGCGGATAAATTTCTCTCGTAGCTAAACTAACATCGGAAATGAGGCGGGTAAGTGAGACAGTAAAAAACTGCCCAAACAAACTTGGGATTAGACAAATTTGCGCAGAATTGATGTTACTTATTTTTTGAGTCTCTTCCTGCGGAAGTGATATCAGTTAGAATAATTTACTCATTTTGACTAGTATTCTTGTCAGAAGAGTTTGTGCCAATATGTACGGTGTATTTTTGCTGGGTCGTCCATTCCCAGAGCAATTATAGTATAACAACTTTTCAATGAGACCAACCTGTGAGATGTCAAGGCAATTCTCCGGGCTCTTCGCTCTTACCGAACTGATGCACTCATCCAGGTGGGTTTGCAGAAGATCGCATACACGAAGTGAGTCAAAAAGCATCGAATCGTACACCTCAACAAAAACAATTTGATTTGAAACTTTCTTGAAGAGCCTGGAAAAAGTACAGTCACTCCAATATATCTCTTAGATTATCTCCTGATGCAAAAGAATCTACAGATTTTCAATTCCGTTGCGTAAGCTAGAAAAATTTGACTTAAGACAAGATTACTGCAACCTTTTTGAGGTCATGTACGATTTCTTTGAGAGCAAAAATTTTTTCTTCAAACCTCATACTTTTACTAGAAAGTAATATGAATTGGATAGGATACTTGAAAATGGGAATCCGCCATTGGGTAAGATTGCAGGTTTTTGAGTTTTTGTAAAATGCAAGAATGTGCTCTTATCTTGTCACTCATGTAAAATTTGCCAAAAATCTTGGGAATTGCGTTGTTTCAAACCTGAATTAGAGGAAAAGCACTTTATCCACACCTTGCATTCAAGATATTATCTTTACCAGCTATAGCTTCCTCGAAAAAACTAGGCACATTTGTTTGGATCAAAAAAGTTGGGTCCAAGGATGTTTGCAAGGAAATAGAGTATAAACCAGTGTATATGGCTACCTCTTGCTCGTATAAGCAATTCCTCATGCTTTTGTCCTCTCTTTTTGTAATTTTAGCATGTTTTGGAATGCTTCTGGCTACAAGTGGTTGTTCTGCTGCTATCGTCTCCAACGCTTCTACAAGCACTGCAGGGTCTTCCTCGAGGAGCACGTCGAACGACTGGGACTGAAATATATGATACTGACTCATTTTATTTGAGCCATTAAATTGTGCTGCTGATGCTCTATCACACAATTTACTAGGTAAGCATGTCGGTTTTGAACGTGATTCATAAATACTTTTTCTAGTCGTTTGTAGCCGTTGATTTAATGCCCTGGTTAAATGGAAATCAAGTTACGATTTTTCCATTTTTCTTTTTCAGCTAGTGCTATAACTCAACCCGTTGTAATAGCAGCTATACGGTAAGATCGTGTTTACATTTGCTATAAGCTTCAATTTTCGAAACTCTGGATCATTTGACCTTAGGGGCTCCTTCTAGCCTACTGTATTCAATGATTTGATGTTCCAAGAGCAATTTTGAGTAAATCAAGTTTGAGGGCCACATTCTGCTTCATGCTTAGCGGTAAGCAACAAGCTTTTTGATCTATCTTTTACATAATTTGATAGCGAAAACAGTTGCGCATCAGATACCCTTTGTAATCTGTCAGCTTGCAGAATTTGCAATAAACACATTTTCGGCTCTCAAAATTCCATTTCTTTGACGAATTTAGATTTTTCAAAAACTAGTCCAATCGTTCATCCGCCATGCATGTCCATTTGAGTAGAAAATCGGGTGCGGAAAGCAATGTCACAGAACCAGTACGTATTTGATCCACAAGCAACTAGGATCTACTAGAAAAGCGCGAGCGGTCATGCGGAAATCGTCAGCGGCCATCAAGCCGCAAGAACTGGTCAAGAAGTTAGCTCGTGGTAGCCTAAACATTATCGAGCGCCTAAAAATCAAAAATTGAGCAGCGCTTACTTGCTACTTAACTCGCCTTACTAGCTAATAGAAGTGGCTGACGAAGACAAAGCTAAGCAAAAAAACCTAACGAGTAAAGGATACTGATAAGGAAGGTTCGTTTTAGTTAAAGTGGTCTTTGAGTTCTATACCGCTTTATAGCCCATTGAACGCTATTTACAAATCTGTCTTCATTATCTGCCAAGCGCCTCTGGACGCCGAGTTATGAGTGACTTCAAATCAAAGGATGAACGCAGAACCTAAGCAAAAACTCCCGTTACGATCTTTTCAGCGTTCAAATAGAAGGTTGATTGGAATAAAGTGCTCTGATAACAGTGGATCATTTGAGAAACTCTGATGATTTTAAATTGTTTGTTTTGTTTTTGTTCCAGTTGCGCATCCAATTTTTCAAACCCAGAAACGCTCATAACTTAGCGTCTAAAATTGTTTGGCAGATAATGGAAATAAATTTGGAACCATCTTCCATTGCTCTTCAAAGTGGTATAGGAGATACATAAAAACTAAACTTCGACTGGATGAACCTCATGCACTGACGTTTAACAGGGAGATGTACATCGTTATGGCTTCTTCGAGACACTGGTAACATATCAGCTTTTCAAATTTGCGAAACGGTTCTGTGAAAGAAGTTACGGGCCCTTGGGCCTACTGGTTTTGCCTGTCTACAGCCGAATCGAATACGAGTAATGACTCCTCATTGTTATAGGGATAGTGCAGGCAAAGGGGCCGGGTTCAAATTCCGCGAACGCCCATCGCTTTTGCGTTTTTTTTTTTGCAAAGTTTCTCATTTTACCTGGAAATCGGTTAAAATAATAAATATTAGAACTGTGTTATGGCAGATTCTTGAAACGCATTTCTACCACAGTAATGACTCATGATCACTTTGTACTCGCTGTACACTGGGCAAAATTGTGAATTCTATAGTCCGTAACTTCTTCCACAGAACCGTCTCGCGGATTTGGAAAGAGATATGTTACCAATGTTTGAAAGGGACCTCTATGATGTACATCTCCATGTTGAACGTCAGTGCGACTCGGTTTCTTCCTTTCATAAAGCTTAGTGGCCTAGCGAATCTAATCGAACTGCCCAAAAATTTTTTATCAAACGTTTCCAGCAGTCTAAAATCGGCTTTTGGAGAGGACCTCTCCAGAACTCACTCTCAAATCTAAGCCGAATTGTCCACACGGACAGATTTGGTGATTTTCGAGGACAACTTCACAGGTGCTCAAGTGCTTCCATCAAACTCAAATCCAAACAAAGGCCCACTGGCCGAGTCGCTCGTGCCTATTTACCGTATCGTCTAATATTCAGGTTAATATTATGAACGAACCTTTGTTTGTTCCCACACTGGTTTCTGTTTCTTCTTCTTTGTATCCAGCTTTGCAGGAAGTGTGTTAGACTCGTGCTTCTTCTCAGATTTCCTCTCCGTCACTGGGACAGGAGGTGCCTAAAAACGTCACGATTGTAGATCTTGTAAAGTCGGACATAGCAGCCACCTTCTCAAGTTTTTCAAAGCAGTTGTTCAGTACTAATACCATAAAAGAGAATAGAAAAAAATAGAAAACTAAATAAAAATAGAAAAAAAATGAAAAAATAAATAAATAAATAAATATAATGAATAGAAGAAGACACACTGTCTTTGTCCCCCCTCCCCTACCCATTCAACGGGTTGTTTCATAAAGTTTGTAGTAAATTTTTGAAAAGATTGCAGTTACCATTAGCTCTGAAACATCATTTGATTCAGTACTCTTATCTTAAAGGAAAAGCGAATTATTTCCCGCAGAACTCGAAGCAAAAATCGTTGTTGGCATGATGGCACTTGAAGCGGTTTTTATAATTTGGTGGCTAAAAAAAAAAGCAAAGTTTTACCTAGACTTGAGTTTTTGGAGATCTATGATAAACTCAATACTAAACCCCAGCCTTGACTTGTGGTCTAACAGAACTAAGACTAGCGACTGAGCTACACTATGCCTCCACGAGGAGTTTATTTCGAGTTTCTGTCAGACCTTTTGATTGTTTCGAATAAAAGACATTTCATTTTACAAATAAGACCCCCATTATTGACAAGAACGTGTCACACTAGACTTTTTAGGTGGCGGAGTCGTCCATAAATTTCTGTATTGTAGCAGGAATTATGGAAAGATCTAGTACTACTACATAGATTACTACTACATAGTATATATGTATAATATTAAGCATTCCACAAGGCCACGAACGCAAAAATCCAACGGACCAGTGATTTTTATAGCTTTTTGGATAAAGGAGAGGGGTGAAATGCTCGCTTCGTTCGAGTCAAAGATGCTCATTCTTTGTAGTGTTTATTCCACTATACTGTTTCTATAAATGCGTATCCAAACACTCTACGATTTGCCAAAAAAAGAAGAGAGCGTTTGCGTGTGTAGAATTTTCTATGCGATCCTAGCACGATTTCGGGCATTGATGCGAAGCTGTTCAAATATGAATGCGATGGAAGATCGGATGCCATCGGAAAGCTCATCACTTTGAGATATGGACGTACGATAGTGGAGGCATGACTAGGATATTTCAGGCCAGTAATGTCAGGATGAGGCGATGAATACTCGTCTGAGCTCATGCGTCTTGCAATAATGACTCGCCCTTCTTCTTATGCTGTAATGCGTATTTGTAAAACGAGAGTCATACTCATAAAACTAGAGTTTATAGCCTCGTAGTAACAATTTTAGCAGAGACTTTTGCAGGAGATAAGCTTTCTATGTAGCCTCAGAAATCGTCTGTAAAATGAGTGAGAACTATGCGCAGGAGCTGAAGGAGGCGATGAAGCGACTAATCATACCTGTTCCTTAGGCGGTCCCATGGCGGCGGCCTTCAGATCGTCGCTAGATTTCGTGCCGTTCACACGTTTTTTGCGATGGAAAAGCGAGAGGAATGGTGAATTCTTGGTGTTTGGTTCTGATGTCGTCATCTGAAAGAGCAGAATAAAAATAAACGAACTTGGAGGACAGAAGGGACGGATATAGCAAAACAACTCAAGAATAAATAGTCAGTGCATGACATGTTTAGATGAGAAGTAGTGAAGGCAATATATGTAAGAGCCAGTCGCGTACCCATGATTTTCTTCGGAAGGGAGGGGGCAAAAATCTTTATCTAATGAAGGTGCTTGGCGTGAGCCACGCCCCCGAAAAAATGTTTTTAAGGCGCTAAAATGAATTTTTTAAAAAGTTTCAAAACTTATTCCAATCAATTACAAGTTTAAACAAGTCACTTGCACATTTTTATAACTCATGCAAGTAAATTTCAAAAAATTCGCGACTTAATCTCGGGGGGGGGGGGGGGAACGCCCCCCACTGATAGTAGGAGCATAATACTCTGGTTAGCAAATCAAATTTAGTAAATGCTTGATATAGGTGCCTTTCCTTTTTCAAAGACCTACAGGCATAAAACTCTGCTTACGATTCAAAATAGAAGAAATATTTTTGCAGAGAAAGAGACCTTTAGAAAAAGTGTTACAGCCATTACCAGCATATGTTGACCTATCCAAAGCGCAAGTATTTACGTAGTAAAGCCAAAGTGTGAAGAAGGTGCAGCCGAAAGGATGAGAGCATGCTCGAAGTGCTTAGTGGAGGGGCTGGACCCCGTGGAAGTTCGTCGTCACCCCTTTTTTTTATTTTCGCTAGCATGGCCACGGGGTGAATCGTCCCCATTGCAGTCAGCTATCGTTAGCATAAATCTCGACTGCTTTGGTGAGAATAGATGAATGGAGAATGAGTATCGGGGGGAAGAATGGAGACAAAAAGAACAAACGCATCAAAAACAATGCAATGTTCCAAATGTAAACCAGCGTGAAAGGGGAAGTCAAAACATAAACTACAGCAGAGCAATGTTAAGCAAAAGTGGAAAAAATGCTAGAGAAGAGAAATGCTTTAGAAAGGATGGGTCATTTGTTTAGATTAGTACTAACGGCTAGAATTACGAGCAGGCTTTTTTTTAGTTTTTTTTCATGTAGCATTATTTTCAGTCGCGGAGGACCTCCGTTTTAGCTACCTGCCTTGCCGATTTCGTAATCAGGGAGTTCCATGGAGCTCAAGAGTTTGTTCATCTTTTAGGGCTTTTGCCCTTTAACATCAGAAAACCAATCTACAGAGTGATATTACTGAACAAGGTGGAATGAAAATGTCCAAATTTACTGAACAAGCTGGAATGAAAATGTCCAAATTGTTTTGGGAAACATTCATATACTTTAATATACAAATTCTCCCACCTATCGTCTCTTTCAGTATAACTGCTAGTAGTTTCACCGCCTTCTTCCAAAAATAACCTCAGGTCTTCATAAAACTTATTATCGGCACATAATGCGAAAGTTAGAACTGAATCAAAGTATTCCCTGAGATTTCTCCAACCTCTACAGTACTAGTTTTATGTTTTCTTCATTTGTATCGTGGCATATCGTTTACGATGTGTTTTCGAAAGAAATAGGGCTAAAATGTAAATCAGGATTCACATAGTTATAGTGAACCCTGCGCTACTTATACTGAATACGTTTTTGTTTCCGTAGTAAGCATGCTTTGCGTATTAGAACTTCTCATTTCCGCAAAAGCTGCCATGACTGCTTTTGTTTTTGATGTTACCTGACAATCGCCACGTTCTGCATTTTCTTATGATGAAAAAGGTGGCTTTTAGTAAACATTACACTTACCTGCCAGAAGCATTACATCAAGAATGTATAAGAAATTGCAACACTCACATAATACAGCCATGATGGGGAAGAATACTGTACGAAGAAAAATACGGGTTTTGAGAAAATAAGCACAGCTATTTTCAACATTTTGCAAAACAGCATTAACTCTCAGTTAATATGGTTTAAACCCCTACAGAGAGTCACGACATAAATATATTGGGATTTTTGTCTTTAGACAGCTATCTAGCACTAGTATCCAAGTTTGTAATGACATTCGCACTCAGAGCACCGCAAAACCAAAATGTGACGACTTCCATTAAGTACTCAGCAACTAAGTGCCTCGATGATGTGCTTTTTCGAACTTTTCCATCACATTACATGGAAGAATGAAATTAATGTAGAGATTGGAGACAGAGAGTCTGAGCAGGATTGTGCAGGAAAAAGTTTTTACGTACATTTTGGATGGTTATAAATTCGAGACTGCTAAGAAATCAGGGAAATATGCATGGGCAAAACTCAAAAATTGGTTGTTATTTTTGCCAAGCAATTTTTCGTTTTATACTACAGATGTTCAACTGACGAAAGGGTATAGAGCTATGGTAAAGGAAGATAAAATATAGTGGTATAAGTTGTTATCAACAAGAGATGGGCACCCCAATATGGAGACCTTTTACAACGCTGTAAAGTACCATAGACTCTACGAACATGACCAACAAGCCGAATTATTAAGCGCCTTTTCACAGCTTAGTCACACGTTTTCCCCTTTCAAGAAACCATAACAAGCGAATTCTTTGGGGACATTGTATCAGGACTATATTAGCATTGTATTAGGTTGGCACATAGTTTTGCAACTTTTCTCATAACTTCAAAGTAGCACTCTCACTCTCTGATATCAAGTAGATTCCGATGAAGGCTGCAAGTCTGAGCAAATTGCTTAATTTCTGATACTTTCGAAAACTGTGAAAAATTGAGGTTTCGCGATTTTTTTGGCAAACATGAAGCCGTACAAAACCTGAATTGCATATATCAAAAAGAAACTGTGAGCAACATGTAGATAGAAGTTCGCATATTAGAATCAGCAAAAGAAAAGAAGTGAAATTTTGATACAGATCGAGATAAGGCGCCTTCGAGAGGGTGAACAAGTCAAATGCGCCAAATTTTGAGGGTCTCTGGCAATAACTAAGCTGCGAAACCTTAGAAGTCGCAAAACTTTGCACAATAGAGTAATCCAAGATGGCTAACACAAATATCATACTCATTTGTGGCTAAGATGAAAATTCATTCCTTGACCTTAGAAACGGGTCTCAGTTTTATGATCAGCATGTAGAGTATCCCATAGGCAATGTTTGAGCAAAATCTGACGCAATCAAAAAATGTTCCCATTATACCGTAAACTTACCGTTACCCTTACATAAGCTGGCAAACTTCGGCAAAAATGTCTGCAACTGCAGTTTACATCATAGTCTTTATATTGACAGAAAATGAATGCACTACGTTCAAAAAGATAAAAGTTATATAAAAAGTGCACCACTTATGTGCCAGCAATATTCGAGGGTAAGAAAGAGGTAAGTTTTTTGTTAGAGGGATGCAATGATCGCTGAACTTCTCTACTGACTTGAACTCGAGCAAATAGAAAACCGCGCGATCTAAACAAACCTAGCAAAATGAAGAAAGGCGGGCAAACTTCAACGACTGGAAATGGCGCAAGCATGCTGTAGCAAAACCAAACATGTAGAAATTTGTAAAATAGGCAAAGAAACAGGAGTGGAAACGCCGTCTCTCCGGTTCTTCGGTTCTTTCGTTACCCGGAGCGCGTAGAACTTTTCGAGGTAGTGCCGTGGTGTGTTTGCCCTCGTAAAAGCCCCATTTATCTTATGCGCCCATATTCATGCGAAAGACAGCTGGCGTATCAGGCAGGAATTCTACCCATGTTTGGGGTACAAAGCAATAGAGGGCGGAAGTTCTGCTAACAAAGCGTTCGTGCATATCTTTTGAGCGTATGTTCGAAGCGTGGATGCAAACACAAAGTCTAAAGGAATTATATTGATAGGCGGCTTTTGACGAGTTTTAGACAAATATTGGCGACGTTCTTCACACCTCAGCAAAATAATAGCTGCTGACTCAGTGCAACGAAGAGAAATTTTTGCAGTGCTGTACTTTAGGGGAGGCCGGGGGAGAGCGGAGGGAGCAGTACAGCAAAAATATAAAGCAGCATGAAGTGCTAACTGACTAGCCGATGTCTCAACTGTGTTCGAATGAATCAGTATTCTACAATAACAATGCAGTCTTTCTTGCTTTGCAGAAGCGTATTTGCAGCTTCAACCAAGAGCGAAAGAAGCGATTCTTGAGAAAGATCATGGCCTCGATTGTGAGTTATGCGAGCAAACATTTACCTGTCAGCCGGAAAGATTCGACGGATTCGCCCTGTTAAATTTGCGCGACGATTTTATCGTTCACCCACAATGTACGATTTAAGGACGAGTTTTTCAGTGGAAAAAGAGGTATTCGGGAGAATTTGTGCGCAAAGCATTCGGAAGGAACAGGAGCCTGCGAACAATTGCGATTTCTATTAGGTTTCCGTTTTGGCCAAGCAATACGAAGACTAGATTTAAGAGTTGTAGGATCATCATCCGGATAAGCATTTCTCAAAGGTCACTTTACAATGAAAAAAGTCTTGCCGAGACGGCGGCGATAAACGAGGATAAAGAATTCGTTAGAGGTAATATGAAGATACGAGTTCAAACTTTGGTAACATCATTAAGCAAAGATGTGAGGGAAAAGAACATTTCACCCACAATACTGGCCTTTCGTTGCCCCGAATTGGAACTACAGCAAATGTCGCAAGTCATTTGGACGTATCCGTCTCGTAAAAAGCGATGAGGAAGGCCACGATGATACTAATTTTGAAGAGGAAAAACTGCACTCATTCGCGACTGGAGCAGACATCGATTGAATCAGAGGAAAACGATTCTTAGCGAAGAGACGAGACTCATAATTACGAAAAGGCATAAGTCAAAGTGGTTAAGGAAGTGTAAGACATGTAGAAAAACCCGGACAAAAGTTCGTAATTCTCACTCAACTAGTATTTTTTGCTTGCAGTATCTGACACACTTCATCGCACATCAAACACTTTCGCGAGAGCAAATAGGAAAAAAACCGAAGAAACACACGGGAAGACGAAGTTTGTGCGTGAATGGACTCAACAAGGCGGCCTCTGATTCGGGCGGATTTGGCAGGATGGCCGAAGTTCCCTGGAGACCTCATCATAATGTATCATCGGGCCCATG